TGCTAAACTGATCAGGTAGTTTGAATAAGATCATAACTTCCATTCCTTTTTAAGTAATAGAAAAACGTGTATTAGTCCTGATGGTCTCCTTTTCCTATTGCTATGTTGGGCTTTAAAAAAAAAAATAAATTACATAATTACATGCTGGTGGTAACATTGTGTTTTAGCAATCACTTTGAAGTACCACACTCTGTCCCCTAAACATGCTTGAGCATTTAATGGTCATCTGTCCATCCCAAGCTGCCCCATGGGTAGTCAGTTGGCTCATGTTTTGCTCTATTACCTGATAATTAGCAATTTGCATAACCTGGGAGATTTACAGAATTTAAAAATTTAATTCAATTATGCATGCACTTGTCTTTTCCTTCATATTATCTTCTATGACACACTGTGAAGAAAGGTGCAGATAAAAAGCCAACCACCAATTTACCACAGTGAGTCACAAACCAAATCAAACCCTCAGAACTGTTTGTAAGGACTTAGAGAGCACAGCTGCCTGTCTCAAACACTGCCAAGAAGGAACCTGCCATAAGGAAAGTCACCACAACAGAAACTTCAGATAAGCACAGAAGTGAGGGATTCACAACAGGAAAGTTCTAATTCCAGGCCTGGCAGGTGTGTGTGAGATCTGGTGAGCACATCCTGGTTAATGCATGCAGACAGAAATTCCCACTGGGGCAAACTGTGGGAAAGGAAGCCACTGTTTATGGACATATCACCCCAAGTTTTGGGACAGATGTCACCTGCAGCCACCATGACCATCAAAGCATCTCCATACTCATTTCTGGAGTCTTCCACCAGAGAACTCTGTATGATCCACAGTTTAAAACCTCCTCAGGGGAGGGGGCTGGGCATTCCCACCTGAACCTGAAAGCACCTTAAGCTTACACTGAAATCTTTGTGTCATGGGCTTCCCCCAACCCTGATCAGGACAGTGACCGTCACTTTTAACAAGATACTGAAACTGCAACAATCAGGTTTCGTTACTGGATCCACAAGTAGTGATACTTTTTCTCTCCACTATTTAGTCTAACACTTCCTTTTTTTTCCCTTAGACATTTTCTTAAATGATATCTTTATACGTGTATTACTACAGATGATGATAATAATGGTTACATACCTCCTTCCTGTTGCAATCAAATTGTTCTAATAGATATATCTATAACTCATTCAGTGCTCTTTCACTCTAATCTGCTTCCCCAAGGGATACCTCACAAACCTCAGTTACCCTGCCTTCAGGAATGGGTTGCAAAACTATTAGAAGATTTTTTTTTTTAAAACAGGAATGGAGATACAAGACAGAGTAATTAATTAACACTGAGGTCTCAAAGGTTTTCTGTTCTGGGCAATATTATCTCTAGCATCAAACTCTGACTCTGCATTGTGTCCAAGAATAGTACCCATAAATTTGAATACAGCGAAATTCAACCCTGCACCCATGTGATAACCCACAAACCCTCAGATCAAGCCATCTGTTTTGGTCACCTCAATTTCTACAGTAAGAACTTGTGTTATTTAAACTAACGAAGTGCAATTCAAGTGAAAAACCGTAAATTTTGGTGATCTAATCATGAATCACTTAGATTATTCAAGATCTCTCACATTCTCAACAAAACTGACTATATTTCCACATCATTTACAGCAAAGAGGAAAACTTACCTATTATGTCAACAGTGTGGTTGACATTGACCTCAGTGGAAGGTACATTAGGAGCTATACAACAATCTGTGACTGTTTGAATGAATACTTATGCATCAATAATTTATGTTCACCTAGTATTAAAACTGGTTGCTACTAACAAAAGTCAGGTTTTAAAGTCAAAGTTTGTTGAGCACCATACCACCCTAATAAACATTTTGTCGCAATCATAATGAAACTTTTCATTATTAGTCAAGATCTTCCATTTTCATCAGTAAAATCCCAGACAGTTCAGCATATTAAGGGTAATAAGTATTCTAAATATTTTAATGGAATTTTACAGAAATAATACTATACAGAACATTTTTTCAGTAACAAGATGTCTAGCAAGAAAAATAAACATGTACACATCTTGTAGACATGAAGGGGCAGAACTTCTTTAAATCTGCTTGAGTGAAATAGATCCAAACGTTTTGCAGTGTAACATGTGCTGTTTATATTACAAAACCAGTGGCAGTCACCAAAAATTACATAGTCTTTACACAACTCTGTGATTGTTAACTTACTATCTTTTGGGTTTTTTTTTAATAAATAAAAATGTGGAGTTCTTATGTTTATCCTTCTATTGTGATGAACTTTCTG